GTTATGTATTGATTAAAATAGTTTAGATACAGGCCCGAAACATTTTTACAACACATAACAAACCATTTCTTATACGTTAGGTGAGATTTGTTGTTCAGAGTGCCTGCGATTCAGCCATAGGCCAGTAGGGGGCAGAGCAGGCACTGAAGACACTTTAAAAGGACCAGAAGTTCTGGTTTCAGGCAGCGCTGCTCAGATTGCTTCAACCTAAGCAATAAAGCTTCGCTCGTAACCAGATCTGGGTTGTAYGRTCCCTATTCKTGTCACATTTTAATCTATTCAATATTATACGATTTTGCCACGATTGAAGTTAACGAACACGAAATATTTCTTACATAACATGCAGATATATAGCATATTTTAGCTAATTTTATCCTGTTATTCTGTATTCTTTTCTATTTATTTTAATGTGTATTTGCACTGCTGTGGGAGTGGCTTTAAGCAGTTTCCCACAACATATCCTCACCATGACACTGCCACCACCGTGCTTCACTGCAGACCTGGTGTTTTACTCCTCTGACCACAGCACCTTCTCCTACATCACAAGAATGAAAGAAGAGTTATGCTCACCATGCAGACGGGCTGTAGTTCACCAGGCGGTGCAAAACCCTCAGCAAGTCCTGGTCCCAGTCCAGCTCACTGAATCTGTCACCATGCTGGCAAACACAGAGATCTGCAGGTTYTTCAGGGAGAACATGTACTCCCTTCAAAACACAGAGAGAAAGAGATCCTTTTTATTGATTTAGACATGAAGAAAGAAACAAACTGGATTGGTTCTTCTCAACTCATTTTAAATCCTGGGATTGAAGGAACAGGCTGATGATTGGCTGAGTCACTAAATAATAAATCACTACTATAAACCCACTCTTACCCATGATGATGTCATCATGCTTGTTAGTGAAAACTCTCCTTTCAGCAGATCCACGATGTCCTGCAGAGCCGGCTGGACTCTGTGGGGGACGTAGCGGTCCTGACTTTGGGTCGATCCGTTGTGGACTTTGTGGGGGACAGAGGGGTCCTTACTTTGGATCGATCCATTGCAGACTCTGTCAGGGATGGAGTGGTTCTGACTTTGGGTCGATCTGTTGAGGACTTTGTAGGGAACAGAGGGGTCCTTACTTTGGGTCAATTTGTTGTAGAATATTGGGGACAGAGGGGTCCTGACTATGGGTCAATCGGTTGTAGACTCTGTTGGGGATGGAGTGGTCCTGACTTTGGATCGATCCATTGAGGACTTTGAGGGGGACAGAGGAGTCCTGACTTTGGTTTGATCTATTGTAAACTCTGTTGAGGATGGACTGGTCCTGACTTTGGATCGATCCATTGAGGACTTTGTAGGGAACAGAGGGGTCCTTACTTTGGGTCGATCCATTGTAGACTCTGTTGGGGACGGAGTGGTCCTGACTTAGGCCAATTTGTTGTGGACTTTGTGGGGGACAGAGGGGTCCTTACTTTACGTCAGTCTGTTGTAGACTCTGTTGGGGACAGNAGTGGTCCTGACTTAGGCCAATTTGTTGTGGACTTTGTGGGGGACAGAGGGGTCCTTACTTTACGTCAGTCTGTTGTAGACTCTGTTGGGGACAGAGGGGTCCTGACTTTGGGTTGATACATTGTAGACTGTAGGGGATGGAGTGGTCCTTACTTTGGGTTGATCCATTGTTGACTTTGTCAGGGATAAAGTTGTCCTGACTTTGGGTTGATCCATTGAGGACTTTGTAGGGAACAGATGGGTCCTTACTTTGGGTCATTCCATTGTAGACTCTGTAGGGGATGGAGTGGTCCTGACTTTGGGTCGATCCACTGTGGACTTTGTGGGGGACAGAGGAGTCCTTACTTTGGGTTGATCCATTGAGGCCTTTGTAGGGAACAGAGTTGTGGATGATCTGTTGTGGTCCGTTGTGGACTCTGGACTCAGAGCTCTGAGGAAAGCTGTCCTGGTTCTGTCCCTCGGCTCTGAGTGTCACAGAAACACAGTCAACAAACAGACCCTTGCTGCTCTCTGGACTTGAGATCAGTTCCTGCAGAGGCTGTGGGACCAAAGAGGGGTTTATGTCCAAGCCAAGCAGAGACCTGGGGGCCCTGATCTGGACAGGCACTAAAGACAGGCGTCCTGTGGTGGGACTCTGCTGAAAGAGGTAATTATTAAAAACACTGACATTAGCAGGTACTGGCTGAAGAAAGGAGACTTCCAGCTGGGACATATCAGATTGTGTGGTTCTGGTGGTCTGACAGTGGGTCAGATGATGGGAGTGTGAAGCGGGTCGAGCAGCACGTGAAGGATCACTGGTTCTGTTGACTCCACCTGCRGTCCTGAAAAACAAGGACACGTAGAGTGTAAAATGTGTTTGTAACTCTAACAGGGGTTTGTTGGTGGTCTACCCTTCAGAGGCAGCTCCTCCACGCCGGCTGTCCTCCTGCTCTACGTCTGCCTCCCCCGTCAGGATGATGGGGGTGAAGTGTGTGGCGCTGGACCTGAAGGCCTCCGGCAGCTCGGGCTCTGGACTGACTGGATAGCTGTGGGGAACAGGGCCAGCAACAGGAGCCAGTCGGCTCTCAGTGGCCGTGGGAACAAAGCCTACACATGGTTACAACAATCCCACAAAGAATATCAAAGATACGTCTCATGCAACGTTCTAACTGTTGAAACACAAAACACCTCAGAGGAGCTGCAGGTTAAAGCTTTAATCCCAGATTTTATTCAGTGAATCTTCTTCAGGTCCAACAAAAAGTCATTTCCTGTAAAGTTTGGTACATTCTGGTTTGATCCTGGTCAGACAGCAGGGGTCCGCTCAGAGTCCCAGACTCTAACGGGCCCAGTGCACTTGATATTGCATGGGGGTCATGTATACTGAAGGAAGGCTGTCCTACCACTGCTGGGAGCAGGTTCTTCACAGGAGCTGGGATCAGTTTCTGTCGTGCTCACATCTTCAGCATCACTGGATTTAAAGACTGACTGAAAAAAAAACAAACAAAAGATCATAAAAATACGGAACAAATGAGATTAAAGCTTTAATATACAGAAACCAGAGATACAAAGTACTTTTACTTTGCTAAAGTACTTAAGTATTAGTTTGAGGATCTGTAGTTTTACCAAGAATCTTTTAAATATTAACTTTTGCCTTTATTATGACCCCCCAATGATTAGTGGTCAACCGTATCAAAGAACCAGCTGAACTCATCATTATGATATTTGTCAGGACTGTAGATGAGTCCGACCTACACTGCTCCAGACAAGTTTTACAATAGACCTCATATTTGAGGAGGGGGCTCCATCTTAAGAGGGTTTCTTGACATTCAAAAATGCTTATAACTCAAAAACAGTTCAACATAGAAGCTTCAGATTTTTGTTTTTGTTCAGCTCTGATGAAGGGCTATCCATCAGGCCCACCTACGAGCCCCCCAACCCCAGGACCCCCACCCAAAACAATAAATCTGTTCTGGTGCATTGGTGCTTTGCAGACATGTGGRGGTCATACATGAGGTATCTAGTTTTGTTTCATTCAAAACATTAAAAATTAGACTTTTTTCTTTTAAATTTAACACTTTGTTRCTCGCTTTAAATCTAACAGAACTCATCATGAAATCAGTTGTTTATGCACCGAGTTCTGTCATCTGGTTCCACTAAACCCAGTTAAAGCTCAGTTTACTGGAACCAGTTAAAATAACTTGGTTCAGCAAATTCAACACTTCATTTCTTACAGTGTGTTTTAAACTACTTTTACTTTCCTGGTTATTGTGAGCTGTTTTATAATATCATTTTATGTTAAAGATCTTTTTATTTTTACTTAGTTATTTTTTTATTCACYGCTGACAGAAACAAAGCACAAAAAACAAGCAAAGTAGGCGGAGCCTAATGTCCAGCGGCGTGAACGGATCTTACTGGGTGAACTCTGCTGATCAGGCTCCCCCAGACGCTCTCAGCACTCATCCCCTGACGTGAAAGGTTGTAGAGGCAGCTCTAAAACATGAAGACAACACACAATGAGTCATTTAATACAAATAAAACCTGTGTTCAAAACACTCTGACATGTTGGATTCGTTGTTTYTACAGTTCCAGAGTTTTTCTTTAACAACCTGTCAGAAGAGGGGCTTTAAAACAACAGGTTTTATTTAAAAAGTATAAATAATACCATACCTCTAACACCATATTAAATAAATATGGTAGTAGAGGACCAGCACTGCAGTGGGTAACTAGTTATTTGAAAAATAGGAAACAGTTTGTTCAGATAAATGACATAAGATTGGAATTCAGTAATATCACATGTGGAGTTCCTCAGGGTTCTATACTTGGACCAAAGCTGTTTATTTTGTATGTAAATGATTTGGTAAATGTATCAGGATTGTTTAGATGTGTTCTGTTTGCTGATGATACTACATTTTTAGTGTTATAAAAACTAAGAGTTTTTACATAAAACGAAAAATCAACATGTTTCCTAGAGAGAAGGATGGAAACTGGATTAGGTGAAGGAAAAAGACAAAAGTAGAAATTTTAATGAAATTTAATGAGCCGCTCAGAACCAGCAGCACAGGTTCTGAACTCTTTTAACTCTTAATTAATTATATTTTAGTTTCAATATGTTTTTATTGTAATTATCTTTTAATTTTGTGTTTTTAATTTTCTAAAGTGTCCTTGGGTGTCTTGACAACTGAGAGCTAACCACACATTCTGAATGCTAATCACAAGATTAGATTAGATTAGATTAGACGTTTATTGTCGTCGTACAGAGCACAATGAAATTACAGYTCAGAACAGCCATTCAGAAGAAGACAGAACATAACAAACATGGGAGAACAGGTGCTCTGGGTCGTGCAGCCACAGACCTGCACAGTTTACGTTTAAGCTAACCGCTTGCTCTAATTCAGCCATTTAAAGACTTACAGAGCTGAAAACTGATATAGTAGTAACGAAGAACAAGCTATGACAAATTCTGAATGCTAAATAAATATTCAAGATGGCCGTCAGAGATAAAATGCAAAATTGACCATAACTCTACCATTTTTAGACATATTAGGCTCAAATTTGTGATGGTATTAGATCACAGTGATCTGAAACAAACAGTAAATTCAAATCTTTATTTAATTTGCATGTCACATGGCAAGCCCTAGTTGTTTTTATTATT